GTTTAATTTGTCATGCCCAATGGATTCATTCTGCTGGGTTTCCTGGGGTTGTGATCCTCATTGTCTTTTCCTAGGGTATTGTCTAAAATGTTTTGGAGTTCTGGTTTGGTATTCATGAAGTTCCAGGTGCTCTTTGTCATTCAAACAGATAAATCTTTTCCTTTAGCATTTCCATTTTCTGTTCTTGAATAGTAATCTTCAAGCAGTGCCATTTTGCCTTTCAAGAGTCATTTAGCAATCTCTGAAGAGTTTTTCTTTTGTTCTGACAGGGAGAGATACCATCGTCTAGTAGATGGTTGCCAGGGAATTCTGTTAAACATTTTACAATTCACATAACATTGCCCCCCACCTCCACAAACACACACAAACAATGAGTCATCTGATTCAAAAGGTCAATAGTGTTGAAGTTTAAAAATCCTGCTAGAAAAAATTCTCGAGAAATACTAGGAAAAACTGAGGATAAAGCAGTCTTGTCTTATTCCTGATTTTAATTTGAATGCCTATATTAATAAGTACAAAATTCAATGTTGACTAGTTTAAATATAAAAATGAGATATTTAGTCAAGGGCAATTTATAAACTACTGATTGCCTACTGGTGAAAGAAGCTCACCATGCCATCATTCTCAGGAAGAGAAGGTATGAATAGAGAAATGAAGGTCATCACTTGATTTACTGTTTCCTGGGTTTGTACTCTTCCTTACTAGAATTACTGAAGCACAAAATACAATGAAATGTCAGTTAATATCAATCAGGCTACGTTGTAGGTGACTATATTACTGTGCCTTAATTTCATTAATATGTTTTCTTATTGGAAATGCTTTATTACTTCTCATCAAGTTTAAGCAGTGGCACTATTATGTAAATTAACAGAATACCTAATATGAGCAGGTGCTTTTCTAGATGACTTACATGCATTAAGTCAGTTTATTCTATTGCTCTTGTACTATACACCTCACTTTACAGAGTATTAAAGAGGGACAATGAAGACATAAAAACACACTCACAGCTGTGGAGCTAGTAAGTTTTAGAACCAGATACAATCCCATGGAGCCCTCTTTTCTTTCCAAGTGGCACCTTGAAAAATCTAAGCTAAGCTTACAAACTCAGTGTTTGCTGTAGAAGTAATTTACTTATGTATTTGCTAATGGACTCCTAGTAGAAGAATTAGGGGAACCCATCCAATGTACTGAAGTGCATCAATTGCCTCAGTGTAAAATCTTATTATCTACTTTCATCTACCTAGGGTTATGAAAGGGCACCTGGGTTGTGGCTGCCCATCTACTTTGCATCTTTCAAGTGAGGGTTACACTTTTATAACAAGCACTATTGTTTTCTAATTTTGCTTTCCTTTAATTTAAAGAAAATCCTACTGTTTTGTGAGCTCACATAAATAAATGAGGGAAGAAGATTGAGATTTAATGTTTCATCACTTAATTTCTATTGGATTCATTTATATGGTTGAATTTACCAAATCTTGTCTTTCATCTGAGTTTTGGAAACAAAGGAGGGAAATTTTTGTTTGGTTATTCATTTATGCCTAATGTACCAACTGTTCCTGAAGAACCTTTCATCAATCCCACATTGGTGGAAATAAACATTTTCTTACAATAACCTCTTTGCACATAACTGTAATGCAATAATTTATTTCCGTGCATGACAATGAAAACTAAGAAAATAGAAAAGGAAGTAGTCTTCAGGCAAATGAAAAATAATCAAGACCATTATACAGCCAACTTTGAGTTAGACTGCAATGGGAAGACTTGCTGTGCTGTCTCCAGAAGTTAAGTGTCTTCATTAGATACAGATGTCCCAGCAGCATTTTCAGACAGTCTTCTCTTTCATCTATATTTTTTTAATTCTTCTGATCCAAAATTTGGCATTGCAGAAATTCTTTACATTTTTCCTGTTTAACTAAGAACTTCTTAAGAACTTCTTGAATTGTACAAGCTACATGAGGAAAGCAGAAAAGGTCCCATATTAAGGAATAGGTGTGCAATGAGAGGCAAACTAGCCAAACTATAGCCATTGCCTAGACTAGCAGTCACTGAACCATGTCAGAAATACAAAATCTCAAAAATTCCATCCAAGACCTACTAAATCAGTATTTTCATTTTAAAATGTGCCTGTGGTAATTCATGTGCCTATTGAGGTTTCAAGAGCTCTGATCAAAGTCATTCAAGACATCTAGGTAAAGTATAAGCCTTCACTTTCAATGAATGGTAGGCTATCTCATCAAAAGTATGGATTACTTTAAGAAACAAGCTACTACTACATTGGTTTTGAAACCTGTCTCCTTTAATCATATGCGGAGCTACCACACAAAATTTTAAAAGATTTAGCTATAAGTGATCTGGCATAGGCCTTAGTATTTATATCTCTTCAGAGATCCTTGGAGAGTCTAATGTCTATCAAATAGAGTTGAGAACCTTTGTACTAAGGTATTTTATCCACTTTGACTTCCTGAGAAGTTAGTGAACTGTTGCAAAGGTAGTTACCACTTTGAGCTGGAGTGTTGACTAACAACCAGGAAGGCTGCACAGCAGTCTGGGATAGTAGATGACCATGCACATCTACTGTCATATCTAGGACAGTGAATCTCAAACTGTGCTACCAGTTAGCAGTATCAGTATATTGGAACTTGTTAAAAGGGCAAATTTTGGATCCCTAAACAAACAACCAAATCATAACTTTTGTGGTTGGATCCCAGCAGTTTGTGTTAGTAAGCTCTCCAAGTGATTCAAGTGCTTAACAAGCTTAAACTTCTCTGGTCAAGAAGACGTTGAAGCCAGCAACAGAACATTTATTCTGTTCAGTCTTCCAGAGTACATTATTCCTAGAAAGATTTTTCTATCCTGAGTTGAATGTTTCTTTACCAGACCCCTCACCCCCTACCCTTAACCAAATCCTAGAAATAAGTTGATGTATTACTTGCTGAGAAATTAGCATATATTGGGTGACCCACTGTCTTGAGCCTATTTCCTAAAAGTAAGTCATTTGCAGAGGTTAAAAAATGACACGACCTGTCAAAACCAGTTAACTACTTACAAATGTTTCACCAGCCTGAGAAGCTGAGGTCTTTGGGTCTTCCATGATGCTAGTTAACTCATCTTCCAGATTCACAACACGTTTGGCCTTCTTTTGGCGTTTTCAAGTGACCTATGTTGGACTTCTGTTGAAGAAGAACAAGGATGTCAATTTCCTGTCTTGGACACTGTATTGTTACAATCTGCTAGGTTTGCATAGTCGTTATTTCCAAATGTTGCAGTACAATGAGATCAGCTAAGAATCTTACACATTGCGCCTTGAGTTCATTGTTGACTCTCTGAATTAATTAATGAAGGGTAGAGTGCAGGCATCAGGATTTTAAAAGGATTGCCAGATGATTTTAATGTGCTACAAAGCAAGGGTATCAAGGGTATTTGTAGTACAAGTACATATATAATCTTTCCATTAGGGTGGTAGCTCAGTTCGGTTATTAGCATACATTTTCATGTATTTATAAATCTAAAGTTTGAAAAACTCTTTCACATATGCTACATAAACAGAGATGTAATACCCCTTAGTCTCAGTTTGCTTCTTAAGAGTGCATGCTGCAAGAAAAAAAATGTTTTGGCATTGAACAGAAAGCCATATTAAATACTTGAACATGAACCTGATTAGTAATTGGAAATGAGATACTAGGCACTCTGAGAACAACTCATAGTTGTTTTCCTTCTCAAAATGTACAAACATTAGGGTTTGTTGTGACAGATCCTTGCACAGAAAATCTGATTCAATACAACTGGAAAGAAGTCAATAAATTTGTAATTCTTATTATCTCCAGGTGGTAACCCTGCTGATCCAGGTTGCACATCTTCTTTCCCTCACTAAAATGAGCAAAATAAACATTTAGTGACTAAATTTACTTATACAGATTTGGTATTTGCTTTCTCTAAAGCTCAGTCCTAAGGAGCCCATGTAAGGCCATGAATATCTTAACAAACTAGGCAGGAGCTAATTATTTTGTGGACTGGACGATGGCCCCATAGAGATCATAACAAAATTATAGTCACCTGGATAAATGGAAAGCCGCCCATACCCTCACATCTTCTTAAAATTTTAGGAACTCCTTTGCTTGGTGCCACTTCACTTCACCCACATCCTCAACGAACATGGCAAAAGGAAGCATTCCTGTCGGTTCTGTGAAGTAGTGGGCCTGTGACAGAAGTGAGAATGAGAGGGAGACTGGGATGAAAAGGTAATATTTAACCCGGGAATCCTTCACAGACTTACTGTGCTTACTCAGTGGCCATCCAGAAAGTGGCCTTTGTGTTATTCTTGGGTGCTGTTTGTCCTTTGACCTCCAGGAGGCTCTGGCTGCCTTCCTGAACATAGATTACCTCACCCCCCTCAAAGATCATTCAACCAGATCCAGGATGCTAGTGTCTAATCTTTGCAAATGATGGCTTCTTAAGGACCAGATTTTATAACCTACTTGCTAGCACATTTATCCATTAATTGTGTAGATCCATGAGAGAAGTCCAGCATAATATAACTGATATTTTAAAGTCAATCTATTTCATTAATTCTAACATATTTACATTAATTATGAAATAACATATAGGTTTACATTTGTTTGTTCTGTCTGCCACTACTCTTTGATATGCATAGAATTTGTAGTACCCACTGGAAGAAGTGTGATTCTCTTTATCATAGCTCAGAGTTGAAAGAACAATTGTGCCACAGATTGGGAATAGTCACTGAGTTGTTGTTACACCTTTAAGCAGGCCACAAATATGGTCATGACAATTTCTAAGGAAATAGCAAATGTATCATTACCCAGATGAGAGCTGAAACCCCCCTGAAGGTTGGTTGCTCAAGCACCCGTACTAACCAGAGTTAAATACACATCACTGATATACATCTGGTAAACTGCTACATGGTTAATACCATTAGCACATTCTGCAGGAAAGGGGTTGTGGCTCTGATATTCCATTTCAGCTTAGGAAAATCCAGTCATAAAATGTGCCATCCACTCCCATAAAAAATGTCTTAAATACTAACAAGCAGATAGGCAGCCCATTTCCTACAGCCACAAGAAGGAGATCAACAGCTAGTAAACTACCAATGAGAATCTTGTTTTTGAACAAAAGAAACAATCTCACCAGAGAAAGGATTTTTTAAGAAGAAGGGCTTAATATTTCTCATTATCCTACTCAGTGTTCTTCTGTGTTCTCATCTTTTTTGTGACTATGATGTGAAAATGCCATTATATACTTCTAGAATATAGTAAAGTATTAATCAATGGAATTGTCTAATTTTAATTTTTCCTATTCTTAAAAACTGTTATGCAAACCATGCTAGAACCCATGTTGAATCTAAAAAGACTGACTGAAATCTCTTTACAAGGGATCTACAACCCCTCTGTAGACTGCAACACACATAACTTTTCTTAAGGGAGGATACAATGGAGTTTTGAAGTACTCAAATAATTTTAACTGAGTGAATTAGGGCAGATTTCATTAATAAATTAGCACTTTTAAAAACTGGACTTGGAAGGCAGGCAAGAATGTAGGAAAGTGGAAATAAAAAAAGCATTCCACCTGGAGACAAGGCACACAGGGTGCAAATACAAGAGGAGGTAGTGGTTTCTCTAAATTATGGTCAGACTGCTCTAGCTGGGAACGTTTTGGATCCTTCCTGAAACAATCTCCCAGAAGTCCCTAGATGCTCCTTGCTTCTTTGGGGAGCAGGAATTTTTTTTTAATTCAATGCTTGGGTGCTGATGTGTTTCTGAAAAGTGATTCAATCATAGGGCTCTAACTTCACTAAAGGATTAATACACCGATGACATCATAGTTTGATGGCATTACTGGAAAGTGATAAGAACAGGAGGTGGGGGTCCAGGTAAAGGGAGAATATCATGAGGGTGTGACTTGAGAACTATATCTGATTCCTGGGGCCTCCCTCTGTGGCTATTTCCTTCTCTCTCTGCTTTCTAGCTGCCATGATATGAGCAGCTTTCTTCAACCATACCTGCTGGCATGATACATCTGCCTTACTACACTCCTAAAAATAATGGATCCAGCTGATAAAGGACTGCTAACTGAAACCATGAGCCCAAATAAACTTGCCCTACTTTATGTTGCTTTCCTTGGGTGTTTGGTCACAGTGATAAAAAGCTGATTAACACACATGCTGAATAAGAGTAGTGACAGTAGATACTGTCATGTTTTTCCAGATCTTGAAGGAAACATTTTAGGCTTGCTTGTTCAATATGGTATTGGTTTTTGGATTGTTGTACATAATTCTTCTTGTATTGAGGCATATTCCTTCCTTTCCTAATTTGTTAAGAACTTTCATCATGAAAGAATGTTGAATTTCATCAAATGCTTTTTCAGTATCAGTTGAGATGATCATATATAGTTTTTATGTTTAATTCTCTTGATATTATATATCACATTTCATTCCTAGGATAAATTTCATTTAATTATAGGATGTAATCTTTTCTTTTTTTTCACTTTATTAAATTCTTTTATTGGTACATTGTAAGTATACAACACAATTACATTTCTCATTGGGAATTGTACCTTTTACATAATGCATCTTGATTCTTATTTTTTCCCCATTCCGAGCCCTCCCTTCACCCCCTCCACCCTTCCCTATTTACAAAGACTTTATTTCCATCAGTACCCATTCTCCAGCAGGGGTCCAAAGTAT